ACTTTATTCATCTTTCATAAATATTTAAATCATAATAAATGAACTCTCATCATTTTCATAAATATTTCAATTTATTAGGTTGCATTGGTTGTACAAATATGATAAGTTGTATTTGAAACAAATCTCTCTCTCTCCCTCTCTCTCTCTCTATATATATATATATACACACACACACTAGGTTCGAACCCATGTATTACATGGGTTAATTTACAAAAATTAAACGAAAATGATATGTATTTTATAAATAATTAATAACCGGAGTTAATTTCTAAGGTTCGACAAAGGTACAAGTGTGATTAAATTTTCAGTACAAAGAGGCTCTGCGTTGTAGCTCTGCATCAGGAACGAAATCAGGCATAGGGGCGTTGCTTAGTACTTGTAGTTCCTTTGTAAAGCTCTGTATGAAACACGGAGTGAGGGTCAGAGGCTCTTCGTAGTACATACATAGCCACTCTGATGCTCTGAGTGAAGCACGAAGCGAGGCTCAGAGGAGCTATGTAGTAATGCAGAGCGTCTATGGCTCGATAATTATAATGCAGAACATAAATGAAAAATGACCCTCTAAAGAATTAATAATAATATGAGTAAATATAAGGAACCTGTAAAACAAAATTTATAATAGAACATAAATGAAACAAACGAAAAGTAAATAAGTAAAATATTAATATAATAAATTTAATTTTGGAGATAAAGAGTTATTTAAATATAAATTTCCTAATAGGCACTCGAGTGGAAATCGGCCTGAAGGATCGACAACTTAAACGGTTATTCCTAAGCCTGTGGGGGGTAAAGCACGTGGTTTGACATGCTTACCATCCCGCCTCGTGAATAACTATTTTCTTGAAAAAGTGAAGTCTGAAGTCCTTCTCCAAAGTTGAAGTCAAGGTTATTCAGAATCACACGTCTGAATGATCCTTCCGTAAACATAGGTTCTGTGGTGTAGATGCAGAGCCTCTGTGTCAGTCTGCATGAAGCAAAGAATCAGGATCAGATGCTATGCAGAGCCGCTGTGAAGCTCTATATGAAGCACGGAGTGATGCTGAGAGGCTCTGCGTAGTATATGCAGAAACAGAGCTGTTACTGATGAGTTAAGGTTGGCATATACAACAGTCATTCTGTCTTTCGATGATCATAAAGACTTGTAATTGAAGACGAACAATCTAGCCACAAGTCTGAAGTTTTTTTCAAGAGTTAATTGCTAAGGTTAGTCAAAGCTACAAGTTTGTATAAAACTTCCGTAGACAGAGGCTCTACGTTGTAGATGCAGAGCTGTTGTGTAGCTCTGCATGAAGCACGGAATCAGGCATAGATGCGCTGCGTAGTTTCTGCAGTACCTCTCTAAAGCTCTGTATGAAACACGGAGGTAGGGTCAGAGGCTCTGCATAGTACATGCAATCCCTCTCTAAAGCTCTGTATGAAGTACGAAGTCAGGCCGAGAGGATCTGCGTAGTACATGTAAAGTCTCTATGGTCAGATAATTATAATGCAGTACATAAATGAAAAATGAGTCTTAAAAATTAATAATAATATGAGTTAATATGATGAAGTTGTAAAACAAAATTTATAATAGAACATAAATGGAATAAATTTAAGGTAAATAGGTAAAATATTAATAAAATAAGAATCATGTATTGTATATTACTAAACACTTCTTTGTATACAACATTCGTTGTTTTACTGTCAATAATATCATCATCATYCATAATTAGTACTTTCAAACCTTGTTTGCTTTTGACTATGGATAAAGCAACATATAATTGACCATGGGTGAAGACCGGTTGTCTTAGAAATAAACCAACTTTTGATAATGATTGTCCTTGGCTCTTATTAATGGTCATGRCAAAACATACAGCAATTGGAAACTATCTCCTTTGAAATTTGAATGGTATCCTTTTGTCTGTAGGTGTTTAAGACATTCTTGGAATGAATGTACGACTTCCAATATTGCTTCCAAATATAACTTGTGCTTCTATCACTCGATTTCCCAATGTTAACACCCGCAGTCTAGTTCCATTACATAATCCAGATTTCTGATCAATATTCCTGAGTAACATGATAGGAACACCAACTTTTAGTAAAATCTTATGGTTTGGTATCCCTGATAATTTAAGACCATTTAAAACATCAAGAGAGTACAAAGTTTTATCAAACTCATCATGAAGGCGTTCTGATTCACATAACGTATCTGAACTTAAATACTCTTTTGCTTCTCCTGGAAACAATGACAGCAAACAATCATTTATTTCTTGAACGACTTCATTTTTTTGGTGCAAGTATTGCTCGTTCTTGAAAATAAACTGAGTTGTTGATGTTTCCAAGATTTAAAGGATAGACAAATTCGATTAATGCCGATATAGGATTGACAGAATCGGTAATGAGGAGATCATGAGGTATCTCAATAACTGCTTCACCATCATTATCACCTCCAACTTTTCCTTCTCCCAAGTCCAAAATCCATTTTGCAAAATCCCTTGTTTGTTCAATTTCTAAACTCTCACCGTTTGCAGTTAGCCTCATGTTCCTAGTTAACCTTAGGACTTTGCATCTTTCTCAAATGTAAGATGAACTTAATGATGCATTTACGATGTCTTGTCTACCTGCGTTGGGAATAACCGGCAGAATTTGTCTAAAATCTCTTCCAAAAACAATTACCCCAAAAAGCATATGTGAGTCATCACTTCGTTGAGTATTAAAAATATCGTTCATACTTCTATCTAATGCTTCAAATGCATGCTTATGAACCATTGGTGCCTCATCCTATATTATCAAAGTAGTTTTCTTTATTAAGCTCGCAACATCACTGTCTGGCTTTATGTGGCAAAGAGAATCTTCATTGATAATAAGCGGGATTTGAAACCGTGAGTGTGTTGTTCTGCCACCGGTAAGAAGTAAAGATGCAATACCATTGGAAGAGACATTAAAACAATTTCTCCTTTAGATCTTATTGATGCAGCCAATATCTTCCACATGAATATTTTACCTGTTCCGCCATGCCCATAAACAAAAAACAGACCACCTTTTTTATTTTCAACCGCAGTCATGATTTCATTATACACACCTCTTTGCTCATTTGTTAGAGCAGTTATAAGTGTCTGAAACTCATCATGTAAATTATGATGGTTATAATCCAGCTCTTCTGCAATCAAACGGTTGTTTGAAGAATCAATAGAATCATTATCAGGATATGGCAGAGTAGTGAAGTTTTTCAACGTGGAATTGTTACGAAGCAAAATCTTTCCAATTTCGAACAAAGTTAGATTATTCACTTGTTCTTCATTGAGAGATAAATCTGTAATAAGATAATATAAATGTAAACAATTAATACATGAAATTAAAATTAAATACAATTTAATGACGACCATAGTGGTTGATGAAAACAAACAAAATAAATTCTTTGTTATTTAGATAATATTTGTATGAATCTATACTTAAGATATTGAATTAACATACCTGGCGACTGTAAAGCAATTCGTTGATTGTAAAGAATCCCATCTGCCAAGTATTGCCATGTTTTTTCCCAAACAAATTCAGGTCTAGATAGACTGTTTGAAATCAGCATGGTTACAAATAAGAAGCGTAGATAAAAACCAGATGCAGTTAAATTTGCCTCTTCAATGACATCAATATATTCCTTGTCATCGTCTAAAAGCCCAAGAGCATAACATGCATCTCTAAAAGTAAGAAATGTTTTTCCATTTATTGTACGAATGTCTTCGAATATTTTAGAACCTTTCACTTTATTCACTACAAAAAAGTGACAATTTAAATTAATAAAGATATAACCGAAGTATGAAGAAATTTGTTAACACTGTTATCATAAATTGAACATATTTGCTTGAAGTTTGCCGAATAATTCATTGTCTTTCAATTCTTTAATAATTACATCAAGTTTGATCTTGAATAAACGATAAAGAATGTCAAGCATGTAGAACTTATCAACATGATAACTACTCAATGTTTGCTCATTAGATCACTAAATCCTTTCAGCACGTGCATCTCGAAAGAATAATCAATTTAAAAATCTTCTTTAAACCGAGTTACAAATGAAAATCTACGATCTCACAAACTTGTTACTATGTACATACACGAGTTTTCACTTAATGATAAAAAAAACGATTTTCGAGTCCGAAAGAAAACTAAAACTATAATAATTGAAAATATAATAACAATAGCAATAATTTCACCATAATATAAGGACCAAAAATGCAATTCAGCATTTGTTGTATACTTGTTTTGGAAAGAAAAAAAAAGCACAAAGTGTTTGATTTTTCATATATAATACTGAAAAGGAACTTGAAAACTTTTGACCTAGAATCAATATTTATAAATGTAGGATAAAAATAACCATATGAGCAACTTAAAAAAGAAAATGATATATATAGAGAGAGAGAGGGGGTTGGTTATTATATAATCTTTTGTATTTGTATAACTAATACAACTCAATCTCAACCGTCCATTTAGTTTGATAAATATGTGATTTCATAGAAGTTTTGATTGTTTTCTAATATAAAGTATTGATCATAATTAATAAACCATATTCATCTTCCATAAATATTCATATCATAATAAATAAACTCTCATTATTTCTATAAATATCTCAATTAATTAGGTTACATTTGTTGTACAAATGGACATGGTTGCATTTAAAATATACCCTATATATATATATATATATATATATTTCCAAAATAACAAATGAATGATAGATTGAGATATATTAACGACAAATTGATATTCATGGCGTAGATTTGAACAGCATACAAATGTGGAAGAAACCAAAATTAGTTGAGTGGAAGGAAGAACCAAGCAGCCTTTGCCTTTTCCCCAAGTGGTTGAAATAATTTGGTAAAGAAGTTGCCTCATTTTTTACCATGAGATTTGGCGGCTTCTCATGGATCTAATCTTTCATTTAATTTAATTTAATAATAATAATTTATAAAAATACTGACGTCAATGAATGTAAACATATACCATTCCCAACTCTGTGTTTTGTTCGTTGGCCATTCATTTTCATTTAGTTTCCATCTCTCTCTCTATACCTTCCACTCCTCTCCAGAATAATAAGAGAGAGAGGGAGAGAGATTTAATCTAATCTTTTTTATTTTATTTATTCATATTCGCATCTGCATTGGTTTCTTCAGCCAACTTGAAGAATCACAAACTCTTTGTGCAGGTTTTGGGTTTTCAAAGGAGATCTAAAATTCCTTTCACTTGTGGCACGGTGATTCTATTGTCTTTTGCCTCCTCCGGTAGGGTGTGTTTCAGTTTCTAATTGTTATTGTGGATTGAGATTTTGGTGGGTGTTTTTTTTGTTGTCAGATAAATGGGTCTTGTTATTATATAAGAAGACGCCATTAACACAGATCTTCGCCAAGTCAATGCTTTGATCTGAGTTCCGATTCGACCCTGAATCTGAAATCAGAAGATGATGCGTATGAGGACTAAAACAACAGAGTTGACTTCCATGAAAGGAAGCTCAGCCCCTAAAGACGAGGGTGAAAACGAATGGGAGGTCCGGCCAGGAGGAATGCTGGTTCAGAAGCGAGACCCTGATGAAGAACAGAATCGTATTCCTCCACCAACCATAAGAGTTCGAGTCAAATACAGATCAATATACCACGAAATCTTTATCAGCTCTCAAGCCACATTTGGTAATAATAAAGTTACTTGCTTGCTTGCTTACAACTGTATTTGAATTTTTAAAGTTTTTGTAATTAATTGGGGTTTGTGGGTTTGTTACAGGAGAACTGAAGAAGATGTTGACTGGACCAACAGGATTACATCATGAAGATCAAAAGCTGATGTACAAAGATAAAGAAAGGGCTTCAAAAACGTTTCTTGATGCTGTGGGTGTCAAAGATAAATCAAAAATGGTATTGGTGGAAGACCCAATTAGCCAAGAAAAGAGGTATTTGGAGGCTAGAAAGAATGCCAAGATGGAGAAGGCTGCCAAATCGGTATCCGAAATTAGCCTGGAAGTGGACAGGCTTGCCGGCCAGGTACAATCGTGCATTCACTTGACATATGTACCAGAATGCACAATTTAATTGGTTTTTGGTCTAAATCATAAATGGATTGGGAATGGGTAGGTGTCGGCGCTTGAATCGGTTATCTCTAAAGGAGGGAAAGTGGCAGAGAAGATGGTATCAAATCTGATCGAGTTATTGATGAATCAACTGCTTAAATTAGATGAAATTATGGTCGATGGAGATGTAAATTTACAGAAGAAAATGCAGGTTACTTCTTCTTGTGGGTGAATTTTATTTAGGCTCTTGGTTTCAAACAACATACCTGCTAAATATTTGGTAAATTTGTAGGTTGAAAGGGTGCAGAGATACGTTGAAACTCTTGATGTTTTAAAGGTCAAGAACTCAACAGCAGGCAACAAAGGGAATGAGAATCATGTTCCCAAGCAGGCGCCGTCACAACTCCGACCAAACAAAGAATCCAACGAGCATGGTGGCAACCACCACCCACAGCCACAATCTAGGCGTTCAGTTGGGAAATTTTCACCAATGGCAGCGCCAGCTCAACAGCAAGAGCCGTCGAGTAAGAACACGTCAGGGGCAGTTGTGGTAACCACACAATGGGAGACTTTTGATTCCTTGCCGACAATTTTTCCGGCCCCACCGTCAACATCAACATCAACCACCAGCCAAACAATGCAACCCAACTTCAATTGGGATTTGCTCTAAAGTAGAGTTCAAAATGTCTGTTTTAATGTCTGTGTGTGAACGCGTGCCTTTTGGATTTTTGCTCCAACTTGGTTTGGCATCCCTCTTCATTCTTTTTTGTACCTAGAGTTTTTTTTTTTCTTTTCCTTTTGGGTTAGCATCTTCTCTTTTTCGTGTGCCATTTCCTTCTCAAATAAAAGGGATTACTATAATACTAATAAGCATCACTTTAATTTTCTTCTGTCACATCCTCTTCAATATTTTATCTCTGCCTTCAATATTTTAACTGTTATGTACAGGAATACAAAATCTTTCAAATTCTTCCCATGGTTATTTCCTATTTAAACCAAACAGGATCAATGTTCTCATGGGTTGCATCAGGTGGCGGATAGAAAGAGACAAAAATAAGTGGATGAATGGCCAAGAGTTTTATAATGGAGCAACTAATCCACCCAAATGATAGAAAGATAAAACCAAGTTAAAGTGGGGAAGGTGAGGGGCAGTAATGGTAGCAATGGATTAGTTTAAGCACTTAGAATATGGTGATTTGTAAACAAAATGATTAATGCACTTTTTTATCCATATTTGGAAAGCAGTTGTATCTTTATGCACTTTTGGGAACTTGGGTTCCAAGATATTGTGTTAATAAGGCCACACATCGACAGGTGGTATGGGAAAGGAAAAAGACTTGAGTTACCTTGCAGTGAAGAAAAATATTGGCAATGATGTTGTTTCAACTTTTAACATTGCATCACCACAGCATTGGACCATTTGGCAATCAATCTTATACCAGCTTCGATTCTTCTGGAAGAGATTAAAGAAAAGTTTATCAGGATATGTAATTCAGACAATTTAAACAAAATAATCACCTTTTAATTTAAGTCTATACATACATACATACATACATATATGTATATATGTATATATGTATATATATGCATGTACAAGCATTTGATTATAAGGGACTAAATTTCCCTTGCTGAGCATCGACACCTGTGTTGCATATATTCAGATCATGATGACTTTCTAGCTTCATTTAGCAGCACTAGGGTTTTTCATGATGGAGGTATATTGATAGTTGCTATACAATAATGCAGTGTGATTCATATAGTACATATTATATATATCTAAGTCACCTTTTGATCTTTTAGAAGTGAAGGTTGTTGTGGTCCAACTACTCCAACTTTTAGGTTTTAGCTATGGTATGGGGATCAATGTCCTATTCCTGTTTCGGTTTCTGTTCCCATGTAACTGGACCATTTTCCCAATCAGGTTCCAACAAATTTTATACAAACCATGTGGTTGGACAAATTTTAAGGCTTGCTATGTTAAGCAATTCGAATATGAATTCCATTTGCTAAAATCATGCAAGTATAGTCCAGTCTGCAAAAAGTTAAAGAAAAAATTTGCAAATGGCAGATATTTCACGCTCTTCAGACTTCTAATTTTCAAATATAGTGCCATACATTAGATTGAACGTGTCTAAGTGCAAATGCCCAAGAGTCTACAAATGGGAATTGGTTGTAAAACGAGCAATGTGCTTGACGATGCTTCGATGCGAGTGGTGGGTGAATATATAATTATTATTTACTTGAATACATCCGTTCTTCAAAGTTTTTGTTCTCTCTCAATCGAACCTAGGAATAGTATTCATAAAGTATAAGCGTAAAAAAGGTGAAAACATGATAACCATTAGTTGCCTAAGAGGCTAAGATTCACATTTTTAATATCAAGGCTTCACATTTGTGGCTTTCTTCAAACGTTTATTGGAAACCACAACCATGTTTAAAGTAGCAGCATCTTGCAACCAAAAGACACATAATTTAATTGGTCCCTCCCACGAAGCAACTGTAATAAACGGCATCGAGGATCAAGGTTCCATGAACCAACAACAAAGCCTTTTTGACATGTTCAGAATACAATTTAGAAAGGAATTTATATCATTAGGATGAGCAAGTCCTGTCAGCACTCTCCTGTTACTTTAGTAGATAATTAGAGTTATGTTATTGGATGGCTCATGGCAGGGAAAAGGATCAACAAGTGACCATAAGGAAGACTACGCTTAGATAAGCAGGGGATATGAAGCCTTTATCTAAAAAGCATGGGGAAAACTAATCAAGGAACACAACCATCTCTGGCGCTTTGTATCTGCAAGAATCAACCCACTTATTTCCTACTCAAGCAAGCTGTCTTTTCGAGATATTTCAGTTGTGAAAGAAACCACATAGACAGCCCAATTGATGGAATTCCTTAAACCACACACTGACCATTGAAGTGAGGAATTACACGTTTGGAAGCACCTTACGTTTAATAAGACACACATAGGATAGATTTTTACCATTTCTTCTGAATATCTGTCGGAACCTCTTACATCCTTTCTCTTTTGGCTCTTTTGTCGAGCATTTTACTATAGAGTAATCTAATAACGAAGTTTCAAATAATAAGAAACGCGAAACATAGATCATGAGGCTCGTTAAAAACCTAGATCGCAGGTCACTGAGACAACACAAATGTTCAAACTACCTAATCTACAGTTAACACCTATCGACAGCAACAAGGTGAATGCAAAGCCCTTTGCCTAACAAACTCGTCAATCGTCAGTTCTCGAGGTTATTTCAACGAAACATATAGCAATATTACAAACACATACAACAAACCCAGGATTTTGATCACAAAAGAGCAGAGTTCGCAGAGAGAAAAAATCAACATAAAACAAAGATTTGAGGCCAAACGAAGAATATTAGAGATCGCGGGACCGGAAACCCTAATTTACAGGATGAGAGAAGTCGATTCTACCTACTAATTGCATAGATTCTGTAGAGATTGATCGATCGGTGTGGTTGGCTCAGAGATTTGTTTTAAGAAGTTTGTGATTCGTATTTTACGCGAAGAAAGAGTTTGGCAATGATTTCGCAGATGCTGTTTTCGCGGGAGTCAGCAAGGGGTTTTGATTTAGAAAAAGTCGTTGCGGGCTTTCTGGGCCTTTCACTGACCAACCAAATACCAATTAGCCCAAAACTAATTTCCTTTATTTACTTTTTGTAAGCCCACTAATTTTTGTAGTTTTTAGTACGTATATAAAATAAAATACTAATTAGGTATATATCTATAATCAGATTTTATTTACAGGTGCATTGTAGTGAGATACATCTTAATTTTAATATTTCGTTTTATATTTTGGGTCTATCGATGTTATAATGCGATGTTATGTGATTTTGAGAAAAAAAAATTTGAATGAAATATAAATTTGAATATATTATAAAATTTTGAAAAATAAATTATATAAGTATCAAATTAACTTTTTAAAAGTTTTTGTTTTTGTGTAATTTCTTTAATTCAATTTTTTATTACAATTTAATTGAAGTTTAATAAAGAACTAATATATATTTGGTTTAATAAAATAATTTTTATAAAATAATAATTAAATATTGGTTAAAATTCAATTATTATATTAATTATATTTTAGATTTTTTATATTTTAAAATGATGTTTATCATGTATTTGATTATATTTATCTGCAGTTAGTTACACGAATTCAAACATGGAATTTTAATAAGATATACTTATGCACATTTTACTTGTAATCTTGAGTTTTAAGTAATATGTGTCAATAAACAGTTTTTTATGCATAAAAAATTTGTTTGTAAGAGTTTTTGTCAATGTTTTATTATATAGTATAGACTAGGCTCGAACCCGTGCATTACACGGGGTATTTTACAAGAATTAAATTAAAGCAGTATGCATTTTATAAAGAATTAATAATAATATGAGTAAATATTAAGAATTTGTGAAACAAAATTTATAACAAAACGTAAAAGAAATTAGGCAAAGGTAAGTAGTTAAAATATTAATAGAATAACAACCACGTATCATAAATTACTAATTACTTCTTTATACACAACATTCTTTGTTCTATTGCTAATAATATCATCATCATCTATAATTAATACTTTTAAACCTTGTCTGCTTCTAACTCTAGATAAAGCAACATATAGTTGACCATAGGTGAAGACCAGTTGTCTTAAAAATAAACTAACCTTCGATAATGATTGTCATTGACTTTTATTGATGGTCATGGCAAAACATACAGCAACTAGAAATTGTCTCCTTTGAAATTTGAATGGAATCCTTTTGTCTGTAGGTGTCAAAGACATTCTTTGAATAAATGTCCGGCTTCCAATATTGCTTCCAGATATAATCCCTGCTTCTATAACCCGATTTCCCAAAGATAACACCTTAGTCTAGTTCCATTACATAATCCAGATTTCTAATCAATATTCCTCAGTAACATGACTGGAACACCGACTTTTAGTAATATCTTATGGTTTGGTAAACCTGATAATTTAAGACAATTTAAGACATCAGGAGAGTACAAAATTTTATCAAACTGGTCGTGAAGTTACTGTGATTCACATAGGCTATTTGAACTTAAGTACTCCTTTTCGTCTCATGGGAACAATGATAGCAAACGGTCATTTATTTCTTGAACGACTTCATGTTTTGGTGCAAGAATTGCCCTTTTCCTGAAAATAAGATGAATTCTTGATGTTTACAAGAATTGAAGGATTGACAAATTGAATTAATGCAGATATAGGATCCATTAAATCGGTAAGCAGAAGATCATGAGGTATATCAACAATTGCCTCACCATCATTATCACTACCAACTTTGCCTTATTCTAAGTCCAAAATCCAGTTTGCAAAAACCCTTGTCTGTTCAATTTCAGAAGATTGATCGTCAACAGTTAACCTCATGTTCTTAGTTAACCTTAGGACTTTGCATTTTTCCCAAATGTAAGATGAGCTTAACGACACATTAACAATGTCTTGTGTACTTGCGTTGGGAATAACCGACATAATTTGTCTGAAATCTCCTCCTAAAACAACTACCTTGCCACCAAAAAGCATTTGTGAGTCACTAATGCATCGACTATTGAAAATATCGTTCATACTTCTATCCAATGCTTCAAATGCATGTCTGTGAACTAAGGGTGCTCATGGGTTGGGTTGATCGGGTTGAAGACATTTGAACAACCCAACCCAATGCTTGCGGTTTAGAAATATCTTAACTCAACCCAACCCAAACCAAAGTACAACCCAGCCCAACTCGTACGGGTTGGTCGGGTTAGTCGGGTTGATACTTTGGTATATTAAAAAAAATTCTTCTAACCTTGAATATGTTATTTCTCTACTCATAGTTTCTTTTTCATTATCAACCATTTGATACAACTTATTCATATTTATGAC